TATATATAAGTCCCCTCATATTTGTTTTTGTTTTCCCCCTCTTTTCCGACATAACCGTACGCAAGCCTGCTCCCCTTCTCCATCAACTGTTTTCTCTTGTACGAGAAGGAAAGATCATCACCCATTTCATCACAAAGCCTGCACCCTTTCTTCATCAAGCCTGATTTTGTACGAGAAAGAGAGACCATCACCGCCACTGTTCACCCTGTTTGCTTCATTTCCCATCCTTCGCCAAAGCAGACATCTCCATTTCTTTTATTCCCTGTCCTTCTCCAACTCAGTCTATCACCATCCATCGCATCCGTCTTCTCCCTTCCCATCGAAGTCGCCAACAGCGGTTCACCCCCTACCCCTTGCATCATCTTCATCAGCGCCTTCGGTAATCAAGTATGACATCCCCTCCCCTATCTCCTTTCTTTTTAAAGCACTCGACTGTTTGATTCAAACATCATTCGAACCAAGGGAAGCAAAGACAACACGATTTTTTGTCAAATAACACCAGGTATGTTAATCTTTGTTTCTACTCTTAGTCATTTAAGCAAAATACTACGTGTTTGTGATCGATTTTTGGCCGAAGAGGTTCTCGTGTGCACAATCAAACAAAGCAGAACACTAATTAGGGTAATAGCGGCAAAGCATAAACCCTAGTTGAATTTTGGTGCCAAAATGCGATTACAGTGAAGTGGTAAATCTTTGTGGATTGATTTTGATGGAATTTCAATCTTGTGGTTTATTTCCAACTGTTGACCCTTATGGTCTTTGAAGTATCATGGTCTCTATATTTTCTTCACAACCAAAAGACTGCATTTTGAGTTCTGTTAGTTTGGAGGAACACGTGATCAGACACTAGAGGTCAAAACATCTTGTGATCTTTTGTTGGTTTGTCTAAGCCAGAGCCTAAATAGTCAAAACCATTTTGGGTGATGACAGTTTGGACAGACCATTTGCAAAAGACCATATAGTCATTTTTTTTTGAAGAAGATATCTTGATCATGTAAAACCTGGTAACCACCCTTATGAAGATTTATAAGGGTGTGGTCGTTCTTAACAGATAGTAATCATGCTAGTTAAAAGACACAGGGACTAACTGCCCCTTTAATTAGAACAACTAAAGGTGCATTTGTACACTCGTCTTGACTTCACAATCCAGAAGATGGATTTGAATGCTTACATTTTGGTTCAAATCTTAGCACTTGTGTCTTTTACAATTTAAGCATGATTTCTGCCTAAAAGCTTTGTGTCTTCAWGCATTATGAAAAGGTGATTTTATTACCTTCATTTTGTTGGTTTTCTTTGCCTCTCTTGACCATTAGTCTCGATTGTCTGAAAGGAACCTGTTGTTGTTAGTGTGTGTTTCTCTTTAATAGTTGTTCATGTATGCATCCAAAACAGCAGACAAGAGATAGTTTTGACTCCCTCTGATTGGCAAATCAGGCAACCCAGACCTGAGTTCACTTCTGTTTTCATGAATCTTTCAAAACAGAACAAGGTCTGACTTGGTCACTGTGTGGTTTGGTTAGTCTTGTTTCCAAAAACTTGGTGTCCGTACAAGCTATCTAGATGAGACCTGTTTTTGAAGCATGCCTAATGTAGAATTATTGCCATAAGTCACAACCTGTCTCTGTATGTTTGCCGAATCAAGAGTTCAGACAGACAGCAAGTTTGATTTCTATCTGAGTTGGCCGTATTGTGTGAGTTCAATAGATAATGCATATGATTGCACACAAAGCACAA